GGCTCGATATCTCTCCTCTCCTATTTGTACGGTTCACGGGTTTCGCAAAGCTTTTTATGGTACACGTGTTAAATAGCAATAATTATTTTTTTTCTAATAAACAGGTTTAAAGTTTCATTTTTAATCTTCGAACGGCAGACTATCTAATAATAACAGGCAAGAAAGACACAGGCTTGATTTAGACCTGTATTAAAACTTTTTACATACACATCATTCGTTCAAAGGTACTTATTTACTCAACTTGACAACTAGAAAATCATTAGCCAAATTGAGAGTTCTTTCTTAGCTGTGATAATTAACGGTTTGCAACGAAAAATGCGAGAGAACCACATTAATAACGATTACGTATTTTTGTCCAACGTTGTCAAATTGTACATTGAATTTCCTGAATCGATTTGCATATAAACAATTGCCAGTTATATTATTTCTCATTAATATTTCATTTTTTGTTCGTAAACAATAATGAATGAGATAAAAAGATACGTAGTGCCATCTACGGCAAAACACCCAAGTTATTAGGCAATTAATACTATGTTTTTATCATGAGCTGGCGCTAGGTGTTTAGTCACACGTGACGCCATGGACCTATAGGTCCATGCGTGTCCCATTATAAATTTAATGTTTATTATATACAGTTTTCTGAACAGATAATGTGTACTAATAGCATCGACTAGGTATAGGATAGACCTATCATCTTATAAGACTTCGTGTCTCATGTTCTGAAATACCGATCGTGTAAAAAGTCAGGGATTTTCTGCTGCCCTCTACGTTATGAGAACGGTGAATTTGTGAACTACGTTAAATCCATTCGAGCTCAACTAGTCTAACTTCTACAGTGTTGTCGAGTACGCAATGTTGTCAGATCATGAGTGTTCGGTACGTCGGGAAATCATCGAAGAGACCATGGCCGTGAACGGTTCACTTCCGTTCGAGGAACCAACTTGAGCCTCGACAATTGCGCAAATGCACTTTTCACTGGTATAGAACTCACGGGTAGACTTCCCTACAGGGTGGTCTGGTCCGTATAAACGCCAATAAACACATTCTAAGTGAAAGAATTAGAATTTTAGAAAGTGTGCGATTGTGACAGACGCCGATGAAAACACACAAGATGGCTGCACAAGTTACATTTTGTCAAATATCTCACGATTTAATGGTTTTCTCGTCAAACGCAGACCAGACCACCCTTTACACTACTATCACACTATCGTGGAAATTCGATTTGAGTCACTTTATCACTTCTGGAAGGCACAAGTTGGTTCCTACGATTTGATGCGTCCAGACGCAGAAATAAACAGTGGTATCGATAAGCGAGCATCGATAAAACAGAGGGAGTCGATAAATGTAACCTCGCAACACGTGGTGGATCGTATCGATTGTTTTGTTACGCTGTTGCCATTCGACAATTCTGCCCGTCAGGAGAACGATGGAACAGCTACGGCCTACGGCTTGTGGCGAGATTTCGATTCTCGCGGAACGTAGGAAATAACGACGCGAGGGAAAGAAATCCGAGAATTAAACAATACGTACTAATGTGTGCAAGGATGAACCTTCTTATTCGTACTTGCAATGATGCTTATTTTTTTAATTAATGAAATTACATACGAGATACTTGACATGATATTCTCGAGAAACAAATTGTAAAAATGGCACAATATATATTCCGGGTATTCCACATACGAAAAACATGGAATACTATACAAATCTCTTGTTGGAAATGATATTTATTTATTTTTTATTGACATAATTGACGCAGGTGTTATATACTTACACAAATATTTCATAAAAGAGACACAAAAGGAACACAATTAATCGCATACGCTCTGTCAATCTTTCATTCGTCGCCCAGCGGAGATAGATTTTGTACTAACAACTGATTGCTGTCGCATGCGTACTTAGCGTATCATCTTCGCTGCGTCTGCATCTGTTCCAGTACGTATTTTGTTTTAAAAATTGGACCAAACGACTTGAGTTTTTTTGAGAAGCTAGAAGGATTAACTTATTAGATGACATGTTTTCGTTATTTCGAAAACATTACAATTGTTGGAATAGCGAAGAAAATAGTAAAAATATTAAGAAGTTCTTTTTTCATTTTTTTTCTGATCCTATAGTGAAAATTTAACAAATACCTCTTATACACTTAATTAAGATACATACACGCTGAAAATTGCAGGGTATAAGTTACAAACTATTAAAAGTGGTTAGACTTACAAGTTAGAGTTACAAATAAGTTACAAAACTAAAAAACTCGTACTTTCGACTTATAAACCTGAAGATTTTTTACTACTTCGGTGCTCGTAGCTTCTTTGCTTTGACCGACGAATTTTGTTATGACTGGGCCCGATAATGGTGGCCTGACCTAGGTCACTCTGAAAGTCACCATCGGGTGTCGATCGAAAACGAAGAGACAGGAATACTGTTTCGTTGGACGTCGACTAGAATGGTCATAAAACCAGCTTTCGATTTCACTATTGTTATTAAGCAGAATTATTGATATATATACATAGATAGTAATGATATACTTAGTCATGGCAATAAAGAAACTGTAACATCTCAGCTTCACTTTTCTTTTTCTTAGATATATAAGTGTACAAGAGGCATATTTCAAATGTTCATTATAGGCTAAGATAAAAAAGTTGAAAAAAGTGTCTGTTACTATTTTTGTGCGTGTTTTGTCAAACATTTCCCTGTACATTGTGAAACAACTAATTACAATTAAATCATTAAAACTTAATTATCTAGACTAATCTTTAACTTCTCATAAACATTCAAATCATTTTATGGATAACTAGCTGACGTACCCGCTCTCGCGCGGGCAGTTTCATATTGCAAATCATATTTTAGTTCGTATATACAGACTAGACTGTAATATACCGTGAATAAATAAGCAGCATAGAATTTTGGATAGAGCAATATGAATCACATCGACTCGCGGCTTTTTAAACTTTGTTGTCTGCCTCAGCTCATCGTTGGCTAAAGAACATTGTCGCTTGACTGTTCCTTCGACTAACTTTGGCCAGCAAAGCAGGAATAAACGGGCTGTTGAGCGCCGGGCGAGAGGCCAGCGACCGACGATCGAAATACAATGTAAACAGATAAGGAATGAAACGCAGGAATGAAAATTTAATCTTTTATAGTTTTCAGTATACATTCATTAATGTGTCACGAATGAACTGAGGATACATGGATACTGTCCGTCAACACTGTCTCTTCGCATAGCAAATACACAAACCGAACTTGATGGTAATAGGGAACAAAATTTATTTGTGGGTAGTGCCGTTAGATGTCGTATTATCAAGCCGTCCTGTGGGGATATCAGTACCCCATCAGAGTCGAGACGCCTTCTCTCTCTTCTTCTTCGTCTTCTCCTTCCGCGCTCGACTTCCGACTCTCCATCCGCCGCTCCCGACCTCGGGATCAATAAAGTTTTCTTTTACAAAGACGTGTCATCACTCAGTGATATTCTCGTGGTCCTCAACTCCATTCCGAGCACGTTGGCTGCTCTCCAGTACGCCGGTCGCCCGTACTGGTAAAACCCAACAGTCCCAAATATCAATTTTGTGTTTCCGCTGGCGTCCGATTATTTACATCAGCGCTTCGTTCGATTCGGACTTGGCTCCAAAGGAGTCTCCCCCCTAAATGAAAAAATATATACTTTCCCGTTTCATGTTCCTATTTTTATTCCCGTTAAATCATATAATTTTATCGGTAACGTCAGGTATTGACACTAAAATGGTAAAGGGGCTTCTGACGCCCTCGAAGCATGGGACAGAAAATTACATTGCATGTTAGGTCTATTTTTATATCTCGTCTGTGCTAATAGATAAGTGCGATGTTACTAATGATTAAATAATCAATTAACAACGCTTGAAGTACGAGAAGTACATTCGTTATACTATAGACGAGAAATATTTGTCTGTGCTATGTTGATATTACTCTACAAATTATGCGAGAAAGTATACATGTGAATGGAAAGCATTAGTTACCGTTAATCTATATAGGCGGTGAAGGTGGTTTATTCTCAAAGATGGCGTACTTTCAAAATACAGGAACCCATGCTATGCTTAGAACCACGGTCGTATACACAGGTCCGGAAATTCCCGTGGTGGGAGTCATCCCTTAATGATGTTGCGTTCTCTTTAGTGAATTTTAAAGCTTTGTGGGAAATATGGCGTGAGCTAGCGCCTATGGGGCGCTTTTAATTGTGAAATTGTATTTAAGTATTCAATTAAATAACAACTTCAATTTAAACTGTTCATAATTCTTTAATTTTAATTTCAATATTCTTTTTACACTTATGTAAATGAATTTACTTTTACAAATACTTTTTATGTTTCGAGAACGCGTCTGGGTAGTTGTAATGTCCAGAGATGAATGGCGGAAAAAAAAGAAACAAGGAGCGTCATCTCCTTGCCCAATTATAAAAACAAATACAATTTGTTTATTATCAAAATGTCTTAGATACCGACATCCAATCAGGAAATTATTAATTAATTAAAACGACTTCCTATTTGCCAATCCATTCCCTGTCATTTATCAACTGTCCAGTTCGCGAGTGTTTAACATCTTAGCATTGGTTTGCATATTAGGAGAGGGAAATAAAGAGAAATTATTCAAACATAAATAATTTGAAATCTATCCTTTTGGATGAGTATCTACTGATTTCAATTCGTTTCCTACATGTGCCAACTTCACCTTTCTCCCTCTCCTATTACATTTGTTTCAAACTTCGCGCTTTCGACACTCGCATATCGATAACCCTAAATATCGCTTGAACTAAAGACACTACCCGCAACAACGTAACAATGAAAACCAAAAGTTTCATGAATCTTCCGCTAGCCACACAGCGCTGCAATCGATGCGTCCGTAGAAAAGCGCGTGTGATGCAGCGCAGTGCGCTGAGCGCACGGTCGTGTACACCCATAGCCATGTATAGACGGAGCTGTGCCACAGCTGCTGTGGGTCAGTCAGTATCAGTCAGTATGTTTTAATGGCTATTGCAGTGCTGTATATCGTAACACATATGTAACGGATAGTTTACAGGAGCAGCTGTTTTGACAAGTCGTATGGACTGAGTTCTGCTCTATACAAATAAAATAATTGACTATTTATTTTAAAATATAAATTCTATTAAAAGATGGAAAATGATAGCCCTGTAATATACGGACTTGAATTTCAAGTATGAAATCGAACATGATCAACGTTATAAACAATTGTAAATTTTGCTAGTGTAGTAACAAAATGAAATATATTGTATTAACAATAATTTATACTTACAGTTTTTATAAAGCTTCACATACATTAGTGTCTAAAAAGTATAAATTTTATGTTTATTAGTCATTGTAATAGTATTTTCTTTAATATTATAGACAAGGGCATTGTCGGCTCAAACAGCAGAAACGGATATTGTTAGATTTCTGGTCGGAACACAATCACTGAAATTTAATAACAATCAAGTTCACTTAGTAGAATTGCATGAAGAAACAGGTGGTTTAAAGACACAAGTGTTTCATCATCCCATTGGTGAAATTTGGTCTTTGCAAGCATCTCCGTCAGATCCCAATATATTTATTACTTGTTATAATAGTTTAAGTGGTAATTACGAATTAAACTGTTTTGTGATTTAAAAAATTAGTACCATAATCATATCTAAACTTATATAAAAAACTTAAAAAATATATTTTCATTTAGATGATGGTAGTTGTCAGATGAAGGGAGCTATCTGGAAATTGCCAGAATTAAAAGAATACACAAATGATGTTGAAGATCTTAAAAAATTAGCAGATATTGATACAACATCATATGGTACAAATCTTAAAACTATTGCTTATCATCCTACCGATTCATTGAAAGCTGTTTCAGTTGTAGACAATAATTTTATATTATGGGATTTAGCTGATAATGGACCAGAGGTAATAATAGTTGCCTTACGTTACAATTAAGTAGGTTTATTTTCTACCTTGTGCATTATTTAGGTTGTAAGTTGTGGCACCTTAGCTAGTAAAGGTCAACCACGTTTCACAAATGGGAAATGGAATCCTCATAATGGTTGCAATCAGTTTGTGACATTAAATGAAAACAATGTTCGTGGATGGGATTTTAGAAGTCCTTCCGAACCATCATGGACAATTTTGTCTGCTCATTCTCAAATTATAAGGTAATACAAAAAACTCATTTTTTATTAATTAACTTGGAAATCAATTATGAAACAGTGAATACTTTTATGTATTGTCAATTTTATACTTAGAGATCTAGACTTTAATGCAAATCGTCAGTATTTTTTATCAACCTGTGGAGATGATGGGTACATGAAATTCTGGGATATTAGGTCACCTAAAGAACCAGTGTTGTCTCGTATGGAGCACTCACATTGGGTGTGGAGTATTAGAATTAATCGGTTTCATGATCAATTGGTTTTGACATCTAGTAGTGACTCAAGAGTTATACTATGCAGTATTGCATCAATTTCTTCTGAACCTTTTGGACATGTAGTACCCCCTGAAGATGACTGCATACAAAATGATTATAGTTGCAAGAAAGACAAGTAATTATAGTAAAACTGTAATAATAAGAATACATTATAAAAAATCTTTGTAGAACGTTAATGTTTGATGTAATTTTTTAGACTGGAAGATGGAGTTGTAGGTAGATATGAAGAACATGAAGATAGTGTTTATGCAGTTGAATGGTCATCTGCAGATCCTTGGACATTTGCTTCATTGAGTTATGATGGCAGACTAGTTCTTAATAAAGTTCCCAGGAAATATAAGTACCAAATACTTCTTTAAATCAATTTTAGTATAAGTTAAATTGAATAAATTTTATATATATTTCAACAGGAATTTTATTTGTATGTATGTAAATTTTAATATTTTATACATAAGGTACACAATGGATTAAAACAATCTTATTCAAAGTGTAAACTTTTTTCTTACATTTTCTGCAAGGTATCTTTTATTTTGTAAAAAAAATATCAATAATTACTTGTCAACTTGTACTTTATATTGTTTTTTAATATTTTTGTTACAATCGTTCTGATACTCTGCTTGCTACATTCCTCAATTGCCCATAAACTTTCGAAGGTGGACTACCCAAAATTAAATTACAGACAGCCCTTCGTGCTAGCTGTATGTTTTGGAAGGAACCTAGTATATGAATTTTACTATCTGCCAAAACAATTCTCGTCTTTGTTACATTTTCTATTGTAAACTTTGTTCTACCACCCTTTCCTGCTAATCTTCCAATTGCTCTAGAAAGGTGGTCTCCCTTTAAAGGTTTTACATCTTGGACTTCAAATGTTTCTACAAATAAATCATCTAAACGTAACAAAGCCAATGCATCTTCTACTTCAAAGCCATAAATGAAAGCCTTCATAAAATCAGCACCCTTTTGTAAATTAATAATATCAGGTGTTTCTGGAGCTGTGCGTAATTCTACATTTCGTGTTTTTAAATTAAACCTTATTTGTAACTGTAAATGTTCCACAATAGGTGTAAATATCTTCATCCAGTTTTCCTTCAAAGGAGTATATCTATGTGCAGGAACAGATATCTAAAAATATGTTGTAATATCTTAGTCGCAGTAAAAAAATATTCAACAGTTCTACTGATGTCATCTATTGAAGTACAAATATCCATCTCACTTTTCTTTGTTCTCCACCTTCCACATTTTTTACTCGTTTTAAAGATGAATGTGATTTCACTTTTCCCTCCACGCCATTGATTACTTCAACCTTCAAACATATTTACAAAAATACTGTTTTATTGAGTGTGGAAAATAAACATACTACAGATGAAGACTGTAACTCAACATAACCTTCTTTCTTACCTCCATACGATTTTCAATGGCACGTCGTTTTTTTCTATCTCTAGGCTCTACAAATTCGGTTGTTTCCGAATTGCCATTTGCCTTTCCTTTATTAATACTCATTTTTCTATGCATTACAGAGTAGATAAATTTTAAATTTGTTCTTCCTTTAGATACTGGATGAGCTGCTCATCATGAGCATAGCGGGTAGCCAAGCATAGCACCACGGCCTGTTAACTCCCATTAGAATAGCATGGTCAGTCATAAGCTACCGGCCCTTATCACCAATGGTGCTAAAGTCGTATTTTTCGACACATGTACTTCTATGTAGTGCTATGTACTCGGTGGATAAAACACGTTTTGGCGGTGGAGGGAGTTCAAGCCAGGTATGTATTTTTTCCACAAGAAAGGACGACTTCATTTTAAAGGCTAAGAATAAGTATTATGTTTTATTTTTATATAACTTACATGCAAATGTATTTTTTCCTTCAATATTACTTATTTTTTAGATGAAATGGTGCAACCAGAAGATGGCACATCTCTGACTGCAGAAAGCCAGTTTGAGGAACTGGGTAAGTTTGTTTATATTATAGAATAAATGA